CGGGAGCACCCCACGCTCAGACGGACCCAGCCCGAGTGGAGCCCGCTAATGGGATTAGCTGCTCTGCACTGCCAGCAAGGGCTCCAGACACTGTCATATCTACTGACGTAGGAGACCTCAGGGCCCCCCTGGCGAGCGGGTATTGTTGGCACCATTTACGGAAGAGGAAACGGAGACTCAGGAGGTGAAATGGCTTTTCAAGCTTACATGGGTAGAAAATGGCGCAGTCAGTTCTAATCTGGATCTCCCAACCTCTGATTTCTCGTCCTTTCCACCGAACCACAGGAGGAAGAAAGCTGCTTCCTGAGGCGCCCCCTCCGCCCCGTGTTCCTTTCGCGGGGATGCAGCCCAGGGGAGGGAAGCCCGGGTGCCGGGTCACCTGAGCTACAGTTTACCGTCTGTGAAATTCAAACGTGGATGCCCAGTGCACTGGTTCACGGGCACATTTAATGAAGGACTATGCATGAGAGCTCGGGGTAATTTTGTGATGAGCTGTTCAAATGTCAGGTACGGTTAGTATGACTCTTTAGAAAAACACCCTCTGTCAGGAAATAAGATCAGAAACACATTCGCCCCAAAGTGGATCTTTCTAACGGAGTCCTTCCCCGCCCGCCCCCCACCGTAATCTAGAGGATCAAGAGCAAAGGCTTTAGTGTGGCATTCAAGGCCTCAGTGGCTCTTGCAACCCCACTTTCCCCATCTCCCTTCCCTTCCTGCTCCGGTCCCTCTAAGCTTCGCGGGGTTATCTGAGCCTTCCACGAGTGTCTGTGCCTTGGGCAAGCCACACCTGCCAGACCGTCCACACCACCCCACTCACTGGCTTCTCCCACGCCCCCTTCTCCAAGAAGTCTTCCTCGGGCCTCCCTCGATGGGAGCGCCTCCATTGGGCTCCTGATAGCCCCTCGGTGCCCCCCTGGGCTGGTAGCACACCATGCTAGGGCTGGGCTCTCCTCTGCCCCCCTGCCCTACAGCGAGCTCCTCCACGGTTGAGAGCTAAGCGCTCTTCTCTCCCGTCTACCCAGGGCCTGGCCCACACACGCTAGCACATGCGTGCCGAGGGGTGAACGGATCATTGAGTGTTTCCAGTACAAATGGAATCAAAGCCTGACACAAAGATAAGGGATTCTGACGGTGGAACTAGAATTGGGGGGGGGGGGGTGCCCAGCCTTGGTAGCAGAGTTCAGGACAGTGCTCCTAGATTCAAATTCAGCTCCGTCCCCCTGGGGGGATGTCTACAGCCGAACAGGACAGCCTTCCTCTTGCCCCAACCTTGACCCTTAAACAAGAAGGAACCAAAAGGGTACCGCCCACCCAGCTGGACTCCCACCGGACAGGGCGGAGGCCAGTCATCAGGTACCTGAGTCCCGCTGGTCCAGGGTCATAGAGTTCCACCTCCTGGTGATGTCAATGTAGAGGATGTCCACGGCCGCCATGGACAAGCTGCTGCTGCTGAGTTTGCAGTTCCTGCCAAAGACGCGAAGGGACATGTTACTGCTAGAAGGAGCGCGGCCTCTTCCGGCCTCCGTGCCTTCGCCGGGGGTGGGGCGGGGGG